ACGACCGGCTGGCGTGCTGAATGGAATATGCCCGCGCGACCCTTGTGAAGCCTTCGCGTATTATAGTTTGATCGCTGACCTCAATTCTAGATTAAGAGGTCAATCTCTTCCTCTTGTCATCTCCTTGTTTTCCGAGGCAACGGTGACGAACGCTGTCGTCGAAAAGGGGCTCTCATCGATTCTATCTCTGTTTTGTGTGATATCAAGCTCAAATAAACGCCGTATGGATTACCTTCGCAACATGGTATGTACACTTTGTTATTAGTATTCCATTTTATTCTGACACGACTGCACCTCACTGTCGATCGCTGTAACAGTTCGTGGGTCGCAATGCCGGTCCAACCTTTCTTCGCCGGGTGTCACGTCAGCATCGAGTTGCAATTGTAAAGGATCGGTCCCGAAGCGCTTATCAATTCGCGGTCCAACAGCGCAAATCCAGCACTTCGATCAAACGCGCACGTCCGCTCCGTAGTGTAAACAAACATTTACGTGGCTCTTGCTTACACTGTCGTAGTTCAAACGTATCTTTTTTAACGTCGGCTCGCTCCTGCATCTCCGAGGCCGCAAAAAACGCCGCGGCGATTGGTTCCCATCTACGTCGCTTTGCAAACGACTGCGGGCCGTCTTTTACCTACGATGACAGTTGTGTTGACTTGGTAGCGATCGAGTTCGTAGCAGTCAATCGGGGTGGTTACGCATCCCGACCTCGGCATTCGGGCGAGTTTAAATCGTGTTAGCGTCGACATATCACTGCACGGATACGAACCCCAGACAAGCGGTAGCAGAAAGGCAGCCTGTGTTATGAAAAATCCACGTGCTCCGAACGGCTCCGAACGGCTCCGAACAAATGCCGAGCTCCCCGATTGGTTGTTCGTGCTGCCGAAGACGCCGTCGCCATAGCAACAGCACCGCTAAGTTTTAGTTTCTCCGTACGACAACGTCGCTTTCCTCCTCTCACTTAAGAACGCGTTCGTGAATTAGATTTCTCCTCTTCTTACGATGTTCTTAACTTACGAACTTCTTAGCTAAGTTGTCGTAAACTAAGAAGTTCTTCGTGAATCTGGCCTCTGGTCTCGATAAGATCACTTGCGATGCACTAGCAAATCTCGGCCCCATGCCACCAGCACTCTTCTCGAAATATACAACCAAGTTTGGAAAACAGAGACAATACCGGAATCGTGGAAGTTGGCTAAAATAGTTCCGCTCTTAAAACCTGGGAAATCACCACTGAGCCTGGATTCCTTCCGCCCTGTAAGTTTCACCAGTTGCGTCGGAAAGCTGCTCGAGAAGATAAACCGCTTACAGTGGTGGTTGGAAACTTGGAAAGCGTTTCCCAAAGAAATTACAGGATTTCGTCCACGTAGATGCACAATGGATGGTATCTTAGACCTCACCACCTGCGTAGAGTACGAACGAGATAACGGAAACATTACAGTGGCAGTGTTCATAGATATTCGCCGAGCATTCGATACGGTTAGTCATGCTCATGTTCTTGAAGGACTTGTGCTTCTTGGTGTACATGGACGCATGCTTCGCTGGATACAAGAGTTTCTTCGATGCAGGAACATCGTATTGTGTCCAATTAATGGAGACAGCGAGCATCATGAACTGCACCATGGAGTACCCCAAGGTAGCGTGTTGAGCCCTACTCTTTTCAATGTCGTAATGGCGCAGTTACCGTAGAAACTCCAGCCACCTTTTCGAATATCTATATATGCTGACGATATTTGTATTTGGATCTCTGGCTCGTCCCCAGATATTTTAAAGAATCAGTTACAGGTAGCCTTAGACACGACAAACAATTTTTTAAGAGAACGAGGAATGGAGCTATCTGCCACGAAATCTGCATTTATACCAGAAAAAAAGCTTCCTGGTTTCGAACTTAATGTAAATGGAGACTCAATTCAGCGAGTTCAATCATACAAATTTCTTGGCGTCCTACTGGATCAATCCCTGTCTTGGTCCAAACATATAGATATGCTGGAGGGGAGAATTAATAGTGTAATTAATGTTTTTCGATGCATCGTGGGTGCAAAATCGGGAGCCTCAATTGATTCAATGCTCTCATTCCACACAGCGCTAGTGCGACAGGCAATTGCCTATTCTATACTTGTGTTTCAGGGGCTTTCCAACACATCAGAAGCTCGCCTTACTTATATGCTTGCAAGAAGTCTAAGAGTATGCTTAGGTCTTCCGCGAGCAACATCCAGTGCGCTTGTACTCGCTACAGCCAAAGAACCACTAGTAACTATCCTAAGAATCCAGGAAGTATGTCGTAATTTTTTTAGACTTTTTGCGAGGCCCCTTTTTAATGAAATTCTTTCTCGCAAAGGGACGAACTTTCTTCGAACAATAACTTTCGTGCCCCTATTAATCCCTGAACAAACACACTGGGTTCAGGACATTCATGAGCTACCATGGAAGCTACCATTACTAGACGTCTACATGAACATTCCAGGCATGGAAACAAAAGCATCGGTCAATACACACGTTGCAAGGACATTGACTCTTGCACATCTACAGCAAAAATACGACGACAACATCCACGTGTATACCGACGGATCAACCAAGGATGAAGGATCAACATCAGCATTTGTGGTACCCCAGTTCAACCATTCGTCATCCTTTCGGTTGTCACATCATACTTCTTCAACTACCGCAGAATTGCATGCTTTACTCGCTTTTGCAATATACATCAAAAATAGCTCGACAGCGAATTCCAGGGTTATATTTACGGACTCCAAGCCAGCACTACAATCCATTAATACACTGAACACTCGCAACGAAAATATGGCTCTTGTGTACCGAATTTGTGAAGAACTTGGGGAAGCAATAAGGATTGGACATACGGTACACCTTCAATGGGTTCCTGGACATAGCGGTATCTTAGGAAACACCGAAACTGACCAACTGGCTACGGATGCATATACAAGCAACAACGTCCAGCTCACATCTTTTACAAAAAGCGATGCCAAGCGGTACATTCGTTGTCTGAGAAACATGATGGCCCCTGACACGTGGCTCAAGAGCATCTCGGAACAGAGCCGACTCCTTCTAATTGATCCAGACCTTCGATGCCCAGTTCATAATTACTTGAGCAGACCTACTGAAACACTAATTCATCGCCTACGACTAAATGTTGCGTACACCGGCAAATTTGTTTACCGAATTCAACAGGTGGAAACACCGAGCTGCACGTGTGGCCACCCCGTGGAAGACGTCGAGCACATAATAATGGACTGTCCCAGATACGACCGGTGGCGAACTCGATTACGAGTGGGACTAAGCATACTCGACAATCGCTCTTTTTCTTTGGCCAACGTTTTAGGTCCTTGGCCGGACTTAAAAGTTAGAAGAGGGCATCAACTTTACTACGTGATTTTTTTACTGACACAAAGATAGTATACAGATATTAGGTATCATACAAAGGTCAAAACACGCACACCGCGCCCTTAAAAGATAACTGCGTTTTTTTATAGTAAGTTTATTGCTATGTTACAGTAACCTATTGTACATATGTACATATGTATTTATTGCGTAATCGCTTCTCTCATCGTGTATTTTTTTTTTTGTGCGTGTACGGCAACTGAGGGTATTATTCATAGTGTTATCATTTTATATTTGGATGTTATACATCATTCATACTGTACATTACTTGATCTGAAGTAGCCGGTCCCAGGATATGGGACCAAACTCTTCAACTCATCAAATAAACATTGAATTGAATTGAGTTTTAGTAGACCGTTTTCCCAGCTCCGCTCCGCTCTCCGGAACGAAGGCGCCACTGGCCTTCCCTGCAGAGTCCCGGATCTTGTTGCAGGTTGCGGAAAACGTTGCGGGGCAGCGGAAACGACCTGCCAAAACTCCCTGACATCTCTGCAGCGAATACTGCATTTTGTGTATAATGTAGGAGCAGTGGCAGCAAATGTATGACTCCAGATACTCGTGAGAGAGGATTACCAAATGTGATCATCAGGAACGATGAATATGTAACAAGCACGGCGGAAGCCTCAAATCGTCGTGTTCATAAAACCAACGCCCTCAAAGTTGACTGTCTGGCGTTACTTTAGTTTCCGTCGATGACAGCAGAATAATACGACCAAGCGCTGCCAGCTATTTGATGGAGCCTTATTACGGAGAAGGCGTAGTGTAGCAGAGGACTGGGAGGATCGGTGGCCGAGTGGGCTACTAGCGCCGAGATGTTTCGGTGGTGCCCTCTTATGGTTTCCCTCCGTGACGTCACGACTGGGATTTGTCTCGCCGTGACGTCACCAGTTGTTATTCTGGCAACTTACCATCGGGTGCAAGGACGAGTTCGATGGTGTGTTTAAAAAGCACAGTAGAAGCTAGGAGCCATCACAATCCGAAACTAACACCGTCAAAGTTGACAATCTGACAGTGATCATATGCCCATGGTTTGGCCAATCGTGGGAAGCTGACCACAGCGACGCTTTTGACCGCTCACATCGCTAATAATGCATACCAGCTCGGAGCACGTGGAGCCGAATCTCGCGCTGCAGAGCCCAGGATCCTGGGCTCAACCCCCCCTGCCCGTTTCGATCTGCATGAGCATCGCACGGCGTGCGGTCGTGTATCCCTACTGCGTGATGCGCGTTAAAGACACCAGGCTAGAGGTTGTACTGCACAGGCTAAATTTCTCATCTTCAGATGGGAGACCCGTCGCCGGTTGAGGCAGTTCAAGTTCTAGGCTGTATAAACATACACAAAATCCAATTTTTTTTACCAGGGGTAAAAATGGTATGGCACGATGAAACCCTCCATTTTATTGATGAAACAAAGTTTTGAGCAGTGTATGAGATTTTGTGTTTGCGAAGTCTTCCGCAAAAAGAACATTGTGATGAAGTTTATCACAAGCTCGTTTATACTGAAGCCAGCTTTCTAATTAGGAGGTGTTGCTAGCACCGTGGCACCGCGAAGTTTATCAGAATCTCAGTTGAATAGGACGTCGGGAACTTGCAAGGCAAGCTTAAAGTGCTCACCTGGATGTTACGGTCGATGACCCAGTTCATCTCGAAGTCGTCGTCATCCTCGCCGAACGGATTTACCAGAGTTTCTGCCACCTGGAGAGAAGAGAATAAAACAAAAGCTGCCCCACCAACAGGCAGCGTCCAACCCCCGGCACTATGCGTGTATACGCTTGGCCTGAGCTGGTCGTCTGCGCACGCGCCGTACCGACAGCAACGCCACCGTGCGACATCTGAGCCGCACATTGCTCTATTCTGATAGGAAGGGGACACGAAAAGGGAGTGCGTCCTCATAGATCGCCAACACTCCGCAGCGATCTCCTGGGCCACAACAACCATAATAAGGCTTGTCTTTCTTATCTAAGTTCTTACTTGAACACTCAATGGTAAGGCCCGTGTTGTTGTTTTTTGTTGTTTTTTTGTGCTGATATTTACATTTGTTCAACACATGACTTTATTTTAAGATGACGCGATCAGAGATAGAGCACTCCAAAAACAGGGTGTAGCCATTACACCCCTTGTCACATATACGACACCCCAAAAGTTGAGTTCGACGTACAACGCACTGACGAGGAACTGACGGCCCCAACTTTTACGAGAGGCTTGATGCCGGTGGGATATAACATATTGAAACAGCTAATGTATGTATCAAAGTCCAGAAGGAAAAAAATAAGGTTTTGTAGTAGGGCCTAGAAAATCTAGATTACTTTTCTTTTTTTTCTGTCGGTTTCACGTACGTTAGCTATTTGAATAAGTTGTACAACTCGACTGCCAAGCTGCTCGTGCAAGTTGGTACCGACAGTTCAACGTCAGTGCGCTGTACGTACAACTGAAGTTTTGGGCAGTGTTATATGTGACGAAGGAAGTAAGAATATACCTTTTTTTTTGTTTTTCTGTGTGAGCCAGAGCACGGAGCACCAGTTAAGTCAATTTTGAAGGCGTAGTGCAGTGATAGTCTGGGGCCCACTCGGCCACAGATCCCCCACAGACTGGGGGAATCTGTGGCCGAGAGGGCTAGCGCACACCAGCTCGGAGCACAAAGAGCGAAAGCTGGGGGGATCGGTGGCCGAGTGGGCTAAAGCGCACACCCAGCTCGACGCGCGTGGAGCGAAAGCTCGCGCTGCAGAACCCAGGGATTCGAGCCCCACCCCTGCCCGTTTCGATCTGGATGAGCATCGTACCGGCGTGCGGTCGTGCATCCCTACTGCGTGGTGCACGTTAAAGACCCCAGGCTAGCGGTTGTACCGCACTGGCTAACTTGCTCATCTACAGCTGAGAGACAAGTCGCCCGTTGAAGCAGACAAAGTTCTAGGCTGTATGAACATACACACAACCCCCTTCTTTGTATTAAGCTCGATTCACATGCTGCAATTTTAGTAGCCATTTCGCAGTTGAAACGCCGCTCGTGTGAGAAAATAAAGTTGGGGGAAGCTATGGTGCTCGACGTCCCCACTGCGACTTCACAAGCAAAATGGCGCTATGTGAATCGGGCGCGTGCGAGATGGAATCGACGCAAGATTAAACGGCGGCGTTCCTCCGTTCCTTCCGAAAGGAACGCGTTTCAGGAACGTCGTTTCTGGGAACTACGTCTTGTGCCACACTGTCTGCTAGTTTTTGGCTTACTCTCGCCGAGCTTCAGCGTGCTTGCCGCTTGGGCAGGGTAGCGGATTCACTAACGATGACGTCATGAGCAGGCCTTGTCTTCTACGGCCTATTGATTTTATCTCCTTTCCCCTATTTTATGCTTTGGCCGTCAGGTCACGCCAGTTTTCGCTGCACACTTGGATAGGCAGTGGCACCCGCTCCTCTCCTTCGCGGCTCTTTCAATCGGTATTCAATCGCTGAATTCGGCGGTAACCGCCGAATTCAGAAACCTCACTCAAACTACACTCAAACTGAAGGGCCCCTCCGCTTCCTCGAGGAAGGCGCGAGGGTCGGCGCTGGCCAATCGCGAGGACGGATCCGCCGTCGCGATTGGCCAGCGCCGGCCCTCGCGCCTTCCTCAAGGAAGTGGAGGGGCCCTTCAGTTTGAGTGTAGTTTGAGTGAAATTTCTGGAATTCGGCGGTTAGCCTCCTTTGAATTTTGGACAGCTCTTTAAGGTGGCGTCAAAAGTCAGTTTTGCAAGGTTTGACTGCTCTTACAATTTTGCTCGCAATTTTGAAGTTGCAACGTTGCTTGTGCGACAAAATTCTATGGACAACAGCTGCGACGCGATTATAAAGTTTGCAATAATTGCAAACTACCTACCCAATACCGCAAGGAAGTTTGATTGGTTTCGGCATCGTCTCTATTGCCCGCTTTCGTAGTTGCTATTTTGAAGTTAGAGATACCAAATAGCAAACCCGGAAGAGCAAACCCAGGATACTAAAATAAAATGTAGTTAGACTGGATAGGTAAAAGAAATCGGCTGGGTTATACTTTCCAATAAATGCAATTGCAAAGAACGGAATGCACCACAATCAATGCTATGCAATCAAAAGCAATGTATTGCAAGCTGAAGTATTTAACGAGGCAAACTCCCAAAAAAGTCTAAACCTACTAGTTCCTAGCCTACCCCTGTACCTACGCAGCAGAGGGGAAGGAGGAAAGAGCGGAGCATCATAGTACCGCTTAACCCGCCCCCGCCCCCCCTTTGCTGCGCGTAACGCCATTGGTCGCGCGCGCTATGACATCAAACCAACAGCTTCGCCGCGTTGCTCACCATCCCTCCCATGGCCTTACGGGTGCGACAAACACAATCGAGCAAGGTCCCAAATAGAGCAGTCGCTTTAAAATCGGCGGACTCTGCCGACCGACCTGGCATGTCCTTGAACGGTTACCGGAAGGAAGAGTCGAAGATCACCTTAAGCCAGCCCATGTAGAAGAAGAAGCGCAGGAAGTTGAAGATGGGCACGTACAGGTCGATCTCGTGTCCCTTGTAGCCCGCGTTGGGGTCCAGGCCCTGGCTCCCGAACAACGTGGCCAGGAAGAACGTGTACACCGCCAGGGTGGTCACCTGCACGCGCACGCGTCGCAGACCTCTTAGACGACGAGGCCTAAGCGAGACGGCATTCTTAGTGGATTCCCCGACACAGCGGCGGACACGCGAAAGCTCCACGAGGGACGCCGCAAAAGCGTCTTGGCGTCGACGCCTGCTAGCGAAGCCGTTGTTGGGAGACGCAGCGAGACGCGTTGGCCTCGTCTACCAAGTGGTTTTGGTCAGAATCGCATGCAGCGCCTACACCTTACTTGTAACCAGACTTGGACGCTATTCATTAGAAGTGATCAAATTACGTGTGCCGTCATCTTTCGTTAATATGAATCCCGTTAATATAGAGGCCCCCCCCCCCCCCCCTTAAATAACATTTTCGGGGACGAACTGCGAAAAGGCGTGCATTTTGTTTTTCTCGGTGTTATGGAGAACTCACTTTCGGTACGCTTTTTGGGGGGAAACGTGGGTGTCCATAATAACGAGACATTACTATAATCGTTTATCTTTCGAATTATTTCTGTATTCACTCGATCACGTTAAGTAGGAAGGAAACAAAAGTAATCTCTCGACTTTTCGAGGTAAAAAATTCCGTGCTTATATTGGGAGATTTTCGCGGACATTTGTTTGAATTAGACATGCGGGAAAATTGCAACGGCAGGATGATGAGACAATTGACAGAGGATCTCGAAATGAAAATATTGAACCTAAGGGAAGAGTGTGAGGGACAATATACATGGACAGTGCGAGACCGTCGGACCTGCACAGATTATGCACTCGCGTCAAACAGACTTGGCAGGCATCTTCAAAAAATGGATGTGGATGAAGAGGACAAGTGAAGTGTCAGCAGCGACCACAACAGCAATTTTCTGCACTTTGATACTGTTGAAAAAACTCGGAATTGCCCGCCGCGCAAAGTTACGACTCAACTGCGCGAAGAAGACATATATATTATTGTCCAGAGTTTTGAAAAGAGTACTCGACGTACGAAAGCCCACAGCTATGATGATTTTGCAGCCGAGCTTAGAATAGCCATTGCTAAACACTCAGTCGTAAAAAACACGGGAGGAGAAAATAAAAACTTGTTCTCCGGTGGGATGTTAATATTAAAGAAGCAATCCCAGTACGTCAAGAATTTTACCGGCGACAAAGACAAGTGCTAAAGACCTTTGGGAAAAATCCTTTGACTTTACGACTATAGCAGGAGTACCGAAAGAACAAGGCAATCACGCAAGATATTGTGGAAGCACAAAAACAAACACGCGAATGCAAGGTCAAGGCGGAGATTAGAGATGGCGAAAAAAGGAGCCGCAGAAAAATTCTGGGGATATATGGGATCTCTAGATGACAAAGACAATGCTCCTCAACTCCTTGATTACGACAGTGGATGCGCAGTTCAAAATGTTGGAGTACTCCTTGAGCAACAACTCCACCTTCTGTTTGGCCCTGATGTGGAAGGCCCCGTAGAATATGGACATCGCCAACTCTGGCTCAAAGAAGACTTCCCATCGTCAGCCTCTACAGATGAATATGTGACCCTTATGGGGCGGGTGCATATAGATCGCGCACTCACGACATTACACGCGAACACATCGCAGGGATTGTACGGGATTTCGGCTAGGGTGTTGAAACGCTTGAAATCAAATTCACGAGACCACATGACACATCTATTTAGTCGGATAGTTCGCGGAGATGAACCAGTTCCCAGTGATTGGAGACGTGGTCGAGTCACGTTTATTTCCAAGAAAGGAAGCAACAAACAAATACTGAGTGACTACCGCCCTGTCACTGTCACAGCTGTGGCACACAGGGTGTTTGCAAACATTCTCAGTTTGCGCATATCCTATTGGGCCGAGAGTACTGGTGTTCTCACGGAACTACAAAACAATTTTCGAAGGGATCGTCGGCTTGATGACAACGTATTCATCCTGACGCGGTGCATAGAGATCTCGCGGGCGGAAAAGCACAATCTGATCTGCTGCTTTCTAGACGTTGCTAAGGCATCTGATAGTGTCCCCCATTCTTTGATGCTAAGACAACTTCAACAGCTCAACATGCCTGAACCCTGGGTAGGATTAATAAGGTGACTATATGATGGCAATCATGTGATGGCAACGTTCAGCGGGGTCGCCTCTAGTGACGTTCTGGTGTGCAGAGGACTGCATCAGGGCCGCCCGTTGTCATTTGTTCTTTACATGGTTTACACATCCGATATAGAGGAAGCACTGGAACGAACGGGCGTTAGCTTTTCCCTGCAACACACTCTGTATGGAGACGTCGCCAGTTGGCGGCTTCCTGGACTCGCTTTTGCAGATGACATTCTTCTTATGGCCGGTAACGTGTCAGACATGAAGGTGCTCCTAACCGCCTGTGAAACAGAAGCGGCTTGACTTCGTCTACGGCTCAATGCCGAAAAGTCGGCAATTGTTCTTTTTCCGAAGAAATAGAGAGCCTTGAATACCTTACCATTCAGAACTCTGTGCTCCCTGTTTGTAAAAAGTACAAATACCTCGGGGGTGACACTAACCATTTCAGCAGATTATCTGGCAGAACACCACCAGAACCTCAAGACATCGGCACTGAGAAGGCGCAATTGCTTCGTCGAAAGAGCCTGTGGAGCTGCGACCGTTATTTAATAACCCGAGAACTGTGGAAAGCTGTCGTTGTACAGGCCTTACTTTCGTAAATGCTGTTACATATGTCCGCAGCGAGATTATGGAAGACCTTGACCGACGGCAAAGAGAGATCGGGCGCCAAGCGCTGGGATGTCACGGAAGAGGGGTTAATGAACTTGTCCAAGGTGACCGTGGCTGGTCCTCGTATGAGTCACGGGAGGCCAGCAGCAAGCTGGAGCATTACGCCCGACTGCGACATATGGACGGATATTTCTGGCCACGAAGGGTTTTTATATATTCATTTAAAGGACCTACACACGACATGGAGGCGACGTACCAATCGACTCGGGACAAAGTACGGCGCCTTCTCGATGAGCGACGAGCCCTCTACAAAGAAAGATTGGGTTGCGAAGGTGAGAGGACAGATAAACACCGCCGAGACGAACCGGTGGAGAGCCGACATGAAAGAACATTCCAGCTTGCACCTATACGCGGCTTTCAAGAACAACATCGCTCCCGTCCGCTGGAGTGGAAATACAGTGGGGCAGCCGACTCCTTGCCGAGGCACGCGGCGGTGCCTTGCGCACCCGCATCTACAGGCAGCGGTACGATGTGAACGTGACCGAAACCCTGAGCAGTGCATGTGGTGAGGTGAAAGAAACTATCCCACACTTGCTCCTTGAGTGTCCGGCAATTGTACCTGCGACAGACGTCGGCACCCGGATTGAGCAGGCCCTCGGTTTCACGGAGGAAATCAAATATCTGATGTGCTCAAAGAGGAGGCTCGAGGCGTGGTGCACAGTCCACTCGTGGTACTTCAGAGTGACTAGGAACCATATTATTTTCTGTATTGGCATGTCTATTTTACAGACGCTCGTTAAAAGAGCGATTGCCGCCAGAAATGCATACATACACATACATACATACCGAGTTAACGAAAGGAGGTCAGACTCATTTGTCTGGACAGTTTACATGGAGGTTTGTTGGGTTTCCAGTTGGGAGTGTCAAATCCGAGTTCTCAACGACAAGTTTTCAGCGAGAAATTCGACGCTTATAGTAGCACTCCTTTATAAACCATTCGAATAGTTCACCTTTTCCCTCCCTCTAAAAACAAAAAATCTAGATACGGCTCAAAACTCATCCGCATCCTAATGCGCGCGAGCCAACCAGAAGCAAATAACGCCCAATCTAAGGTATGAGCAAAAACGCAATCTTGAGAACTTCCGTGATACGCAAGATAAGAAGTTGACGTTGCACAGGAATGTACCTATTTTCCAGTAAGTTTCTGCGCATACGTACACCCTCTCCCCTGACACCGCCTACCACTATTCACTCTAAAAAATGACCGTGCGTTTGCTTTCCCGCACAACACTCGGAGAGCCAATCACCGCAACTCACGGAGGCAGGTCAGCGAATGAAAATGCCGAAACATATGTTTAGACCAAAAAACGCAGTCTGAGTTGTGACATTAAGCCATGCAAAACGTCACGCTTGCATTGCTTAATGTCACAACTCAGATTGCGTTTTTTGGTCTAAACATATGTTTCCGCATCGTCATTCGCTGAGCTGCCTCTGTAAGTTGCGGTGATTAGCTCTCCCAGTGTTGTGCGGGAAAGCAGACGCACGGGCTTTTTTTAGAGTGTTGCTATTTTGGAGGACACTGTCCCGCAGGACCAACATATTCAGCACCTTTTCTTAAGCGTATTTCGTCTCTTTCGAGAATTCCTTTTTGAGGATCGGCAATATGGGGCACAAAAAGCGATGAAAAGCCGATCCAATGGCTCCAGGACAACGTGTTCTGACGGGCAAAGGCGCGTCGGACTGCCCTTCATTTGTAGTTCACAGACAATTCCCCAGACGGCGTTTGTTACTCGACAAAGGTTTCTTATTATTAATTTCTTATTAACTGATGGCAAGGGGGTTTTATAGCCCCACTTTCTTTGCAGTGGGGAGTGAATATAGATTTCACATTAAAATATTTTAAGCTTAAATGGTAAAACAATATGGCTAGGTGGCATAAGCTACCGCCCGATCCAAAGGGCTCAGCCGCATTCATCCATCCATCCATCCAGGTCCACTAAGAATATAAGTATTTTATAATCGGGTGATTCTGATCCACAAATGGGAAGCCGCCAGATAAATTGTAAGTAAACTTCGTGTTCTCAAGGTTGCGAGCCTCGTTTCAGCTTGGCCTTCTAATATTGCAAATAATGACGACACGAAGCTTAATTCTTATGTAATTGAAAAATAACGGTTACATGCTTAATTAATCGTTCAATTACTTTTCGTATCGTGTAATCGAGTTATCTTATCGAATACTTTGTAACCAAGAACAATTGTAATTGCGATCGATTACTTTTTTAGTGACGCGAACAAGACTGGTTCTGAGACGCTGAAAACGGTGCTCTCGGCGGCGCGGACGCAAGATTGGCGACGCTAGAGAGACGCAGACGTTGTCTTCTGAGTGGTGTGGGCTCCGGTCGCGTTAAGACTAATAAATATAAACTTCCTGAACGGGAAGGGCGCGCAATACACCGTAAAGTATGGCCTTTTTTATTTATTTATTTGCCCTAAGAAAAAAAAAAAACACAACGGAGGGAAGTGGACGTGCCAATGGCAATTCAATCGACTAAAGCCGCGTTCACAGTGCTAATACATTATACGAAAGACTGCCTGAAGACATGTTGGAAGCGTACATGAAACAAACATGCTCCGAGCATGCCTGTCCGCAGCTAATGGCGCAGATATTTCTTCCATCGTTTCTGCAGCGAGCAATGTACGTGTCTTTTCTCATGATGTCTGAGCAGCGAGACTGACGCTTTTAAGGCGTCGTTAATAAGATTTTGTTTTAAAAGAATAAGCAAACCCGGCGGGGAAGCCGATACCAGTCAGTCTGCGTTCGAGGTGTAAATGGCTTCTTATTGGCCGCACCTTATTGAACATGCTCGGCAATGTTCTCTAACGACCCGGCATCCAGATATAGAATTCCAGCGCGGAGGCCTCTCGGGGCTGTATGCACGAACCACCGGACGGTTTCGCCTCGTGTCAAACCAACACCACCTAGACAGAAGGCCTCCGCATGGTTTCTTCTTCCTCTATGAAACGTCATCACAGTCGGATCGCGCTCGGTCGGCTATTGGACCCGAGCCCGACCTTCGACGCGCTGATTGGCCACGAGCCGCAGCCGAACACTGACGCAGCACTCGTGCCCAATCTCTCGCCTCGATCGATCTGACTATGATGACGCGTGTGGAGGCCTTCTGTCCAGGTGGTGTTGGTCAAACAGGCCCGCGTAGACCTTTTTGGAAGCGTGGTTTCCTCGGGATTCGCGAGCGTTCCCTCGAGCCGCAGGAACGCTGCTCGGATATCATATCACGGTGTTCCTCGCAGACGCAAGTATCTACGGGCAGGCCTGGAGCACATTCGAAGCATCTTTGCTCCATACATATCGAAGCTTTCAATACGTTGGCAGACATGGATGACCGCCATACACACAGTAGGCTGCCTTTTGTATGATGTAATATCGAATCTGCCAAACTTTGGGTTTTTTGCGTACCAAACCAACGAAAGGCATCTTGCACGCCCTAGAGGAGAACTCAAGATGAATTTCGATCACGCGGTGATCTTTCGACGCGCAACCGAGCTCTCAGTTACGCGGCACCTTCTGCGGAATAAGCATTCCGTCAGACCGCGGGCACCTCGGCCGGTAAAAGCGCGAGAGCAGCCTGGTGCGCGCCAATGTTGCGCCTCCTTAGCACCACGCAGATGCGTATTAAGAAAACCTGGGAACTATGATCACAACGACCACAGGCGCCTTTGTAACGGCGAGTAAAATTGAAGCGATAAATAACCCCAAAAAAGAAAGCAACGATTTGTTCGTAATCGTCATTGTAACGAGAAGATAAGACCCGCGTTCCTTTTGACATTGCATCTCGCGTAACTGGTACGCTACCCAAACGTCAATCGAAAGGCTGTCACCAAAACTACTCTACGCTCTTTCACCTGACGATTAGTCGAAGGGGGCGCTACAAACACTTCTAAGGTTCGTAGCCTCCGCTACAACCTTTGTTCCTTTTATACTTTATTTGCATTATTGGCGTTCTTAGTATAGTGACATTAGTAAGATTAATTTCCTACGCCGACGATATGACTCTTCTTATTACTGGTACAGACCCGATTAATACTGTTTCAGACGCGAAGAACTCATTGTTTCATCTAAAACAATATATGGATGCAAACTATCTGAATATAATACCAAACATACCTACAGTCACGTCTTTAGACCTCCAAATAAATTAATCTGTGTACAAACAGATCATTATTTTCAGAACCAGGAAATTAAAGTACCAAGAGAAATAATATCTTTGGGTGTTTATTTTTCCGAACACCGAACACGTGTTAATCACGACCGTAAACAAATTCAACAAAATAAACTGCTTGATCAATAAACATAGATAGCGCCTAGCGTCGAATATTTAAACAAATTTACAATGCTCTAGTAGCGCCTCACTTAACTTATTGCAATCGGATATGGGGTACAACTACAAAGCAAAACAAACTTACCCTTCTTTGTACTCATGAAATCAATTAGAATAATAGCTGATGTTACATGGAACGAAAGCGCAGCAAACTATTTTCAGCGGTTACGCATCCTAAATATATTGTATCTGTACAAGTTCAAAGTCGCCTGCCCTTTACTGACCCGCCGTACTCACAAATAACGTGTTGGTACTTGAAATTCTTAATCTGAACAACCACTTCACGCTCCATATTACACGCCATACAGTAGCATGGTTTGTCCCGATATCTCGCACAACATACGGATATTAATCAATAAAACACAATCTACCTGAATTACTAAACAAATTGGTACAATATCAGGCCATACCTCAAGCTGTCACAAAGTCACGAATCATTTCCCTATTTTCGTGATGTTCACAGTCACTAACGCATTTTAACCCACTCAGCTTTTGCTCGAGTTCTTGGTGTTATTGCGTGCATACATTTTTTTTGCTGGTTTGTTCGCTTTCTTTAAAGCGCCCCTGCCCCTGCCGCCTGTATCGGAGCAGGGACCTGGTCAAGCTACTGAATGTAGCTCTTTGTCCTTGCCCCTCTACTCCCTGGTGAGGAAATAAAGAATTATTATTAGGGAGTTTTCGTAGACCGTGTTCCCACCTCTGCTCCACTCTCCGCAATGAAGACGCCACTACTGCGCATGTGCGAAGCTATAGCCTCGCCCGCAGAGTCCCAGATTTTGTAGCGGGTTGCGGAGAAAGTTGCGGGACAGTGGAAACGATCTTCGCAAACTCTCTATTATTATTATTAATATTATTATTATTATTATTATTATTATTATTATTATCATTATTATTATCGGTGCAGTTTAAAACGCCGTTTGAGTGTCACACAACTTTTGGGAGGGGCGCAGGGAAGCGCGAGGAGCATAGTCACGTGACAGGTTGACAGCGCTATAAGTTGGCAGGCACGGCCCGTAACGTTCGCAGCGCTCCATCGTACAATGTGCAACGAAGTAGAGTGTGCTGGAAAGTGCTCATTGGGGGGGAACTAAGCGCTAAAATTTTATCAGTGCCAACACCCTTCGCAATAAAACACTCAACGCATAACGTGAATGTCGTGTTCGCGCTAACAGTGTCGCGCAGTTTATGCGTCTAGAGTCTGGTGAGACGGGGTTCCACGACTGCTTTGTACAGACTCACCTGTGTGTATACGAGAGGAATGCTGATCCAGTCAAAGTTGAATAGGCTTCCGCAGTTGCTCCGATAATGCGCAATTTCCTGCAAGCATTGCGAAACTTCCCATTAGGGTTCATTTTGATGAAACCACAACGATGCTGGCTGGCAGGTCAAACCCGTAGCCAAAATATATACAGGGTGTCACAAAAACAATTTACAGGGTTTTTTTTCACCGCAAAAATAAACTAGGTATCGCCGAACGCTCATTCTCCGCCCAAAGGTAGCGCTAGAGGTCACAACCAGATGCCAAAGTTTCAGCCCAATCCGATGAGTTAATCAAAAGTTATAAGTGATTTTCTAAAAATTTAAATGGGGAAATGGAGCCCATTCTCGCCCGTTTTCGGTTTCTGGTCCCATAGAGCCGCATGTATTCGAAAACTCCGTCGGCCGCCATTTTCCCATTGAAATTTTCAGAACATCACTTATAAGTTTTGATGAAGTTATCAGATTGGGCTGAAACTTTGGCATCTGGTTGTGACCTCTAGCGCTAGTTTATTTTGCCTAGTTTATTTTTGCGGTAAGAAAGACCCTGTAAATTTTCTTTTCTGACACCCTTTATATATATATTTCTATTATTTTTTTTTTCGGGGGGGGGGGGGGGGGGGGTTGAAAACAAATATTCGGCATCCCGGGGTATAAAAAATAGCCAGTGACGTTTATATTCCAAGTCCTATAATTCATTTAATGCACTATTTAGGAGCAATCGTTTTAACTATTTAGAAGACCTTAGACAGTTCCTCCGGGAATAAAGCGCCAATCTTATTACGAATGCTTGGTAGAAGAGCGTGTTGGTTTAAGTCATGGATGAAGAAAGAATAAACAATTAAAACAGGGACAACACAACCACATCTTTCAACTAGCAACAGACGAGTAAACTTTCAACAGCGAGCAGCCGACTATACCCAGTAGGAGTAGGGGAGAGAAGGGGAGAGAAGGAAAGATAAAACACGCGAAGTGCAAGTCAGGGTGGTAGGGTTATCTCAGATTTTAAAAATTCAACCTCAGTTTTCGTCATCCCATAGTCATACATGCCCGTTCGTGTTTGCGTTGTCATCCCCTCTTTGATGACACAAAAATCCTTGGGGGGCATGACAGCAGATTTGGCAGGGAAATCATAGAATCATTCGCCATGACCACAGCAAAAAACAACGTGTCAATTCGTTCCCTCCTGCTGACGAAAACTGAGGTTGAATTTTTAAAATCTGAGATAACCCTACCACCCTGACTTGCACTTCGCGTGTTTTATCTTTCCTTCTCTCCCCTACTCCTACTGGGTATAGTCGGCTGCTCGCTGTTGAAAGTTTACTCGTCTGTTGCTAGTTGAAAGATGTGGTTGTGTTGTCCCTGTTTTAATTGTTTTATTCTTTCTTCATCCATGACTTATTACGAATATTGGTAAAGCTGAGTTAGTGCGTCACGTGACAAGAGAGCTGGGAGGGGGCAACTGGAGAGGTGGAGAGGGCTCGAGAGGGGAAGGGAGAAGGGAAGTAGGAGAACAAAAATTGGCTTGCTTTGTATGTTTACACAACCTTGATGGAGGAGACGCCTCACCGGGTGATCGGTCTCTCAGCTGTAGATGAGCAATTTAGGCAGTGCAGTACTGGGGTTTTTAACGTGCGTCACGCAGTAGTGATGACACGAACGCGTGCCGGTACAAAACTCATCCAGGTCGAAACGGGCGGGGGCGGCGGGACGCGTTAGCCCACTCGGCCACTTCCTCCCCCGGAAGTAGGAAGGAGGAATGAAAAAAAAAAAAAAAACATTGGTGTTTTACTTGCCCAAGGAGGGGGTGGGTGAGGTTAGGGAAAAGCACCGTAGGAGAATGGGGAGGGGCGGGAAGAGAGAGGGAAAGAATCAGAGTTAGGTGAAGAGAGGGGCGGAAGCACCCTAGGAGGGGAAGGAATGGACAGAGACGGCGAGGGGAAATTGGTGTATCACGAAACGTCTATTTTACCACTAAATTTAACAATGAGCCACGTTACCTCTATTTCCTTCTTTAAATTCAGCGGGGAATCTGTATTGGTGCCAAGGTCACGTGACGTCCATTTTTCCGCTATATTTAGCTGGGAAACTGAATTGGCCTATTGGCTGCGTGACGTCAACTTTCCCGCTAAACTTGGCGGGGAAAGCGAATTGGTCTTTAGGCCACAAGACTCTTTAGGCCACAACTCTCCCGCTGATTTTAGAGGGGAAACTGATTTGACGTAGGTCACGTGACTTAAATTTCCCCGCGCAATTTAGCGGAAAATTCACGGACGAGCAGACGGAAGAAGAGACGGACAAAGTTTTGGGAAGGGGGTTTCCGTTAAAAAGCATTACATGCTTTAGACAAGAAAGAAGAGAGACAGTGTTTCGCTTGACAACTGCGAAGCCGCGCTGAGACCCCCCCCCCCTTCCTAAGTCAAAATGGCGGGGGGGGGGGGGGGGGGGGGGGCTTTTCAGGTCCTTTTCCTGGCTACGGGATTGAGGCAGCCTAAGATTTCAGTAGAAGGGCCACTTCCAGCGTGCATTCGCTACCTTCCGTCATGCTTGGAATGACCGTGACGCGAATAAGTGTTATCTGAGGGAGAAAGCTCGCGCTGGAGGCGGAGAATCTACTGCAATCTTTACTTGCCACCAACTAGAGCGCGTAATTCTGAAAGTCTCGAATCCCACTGATAAAGCTCGTGTATGCATGCGCCCTTTTTAGAGCGCAGCTCTTAGGCGCCCGTTTCCGGCTTGAGCGGCGTCGCCGTCGCCGTCGGCGTAACCGCGCGGTGCCTTATGAGTAAATTTCCCCGCTAAATCTGGCGGAAAAACTTCCCCATTAAATTTAGCGGAAAAATTTCCCCGCTAAATTTAGTGGAAAAATTTCCCCACTAGATCTAGCGGAAAAAATTCCCCGCTAAGTCTAGCGGAAAAAATTTCCCCGATAAATCTAGCGGAAAAATTTCCCCGCTACCTTAGCGGAAAAATATCCCTGCTAAATCTAGCGGAAAAAAATTTCCCGCTAAATCTAGCGGAAAAATACTCCGACTAAATCTAGCGGAAAAATACCCCCACTAAATCTAGCGGGGAAATTTTCGTCACGTGACCTGCGGGGTCACGTGACCTGGGGAGTCAAGTGACCCCTCCCCGAGGTCACGTGACACTCCCAGGTCACGTGACCCCCTCCCGAGGTCACGTGACTTGGGGGGCACGTGACGCCCCCCACGTGGACACCCCTCCCCCGAGGTCACGTTACCCCACCAAGGTCACGTGCCCACGGGGGGTCACGTGACCCTTTCCCCTATGTCACGTGACCCCCCGACGCCACGTGACCCCCCCGAGAACACGTGCCCCTCAGTACCCTTCCCTCCTCCCACTCAAAAGATGCGCTCCAATTCCGCGTCACAGGGAGTTGTAAACGGCTTTCACTTTTTTTTTTATTTCATAAAGGAACTATATCGATGCTCCGGGTCGAGGCACAACCTCGACCCGGAACATTTTTGGAGTGACTGCTTACACAGGGGATGCAACTGCCAAAGGTATCGGCGAAAATGCTTATAAACGGGCGTCGTGCGTGAGTTAGTTCCGAGTGCTTCTCTTCACCGTGTCACGATTTTCGAAAATCTACGGTTGAATGGCTATCATTGCGTCGTCGTCAAATGCACAAATAATTTTAATAAATATAAGAACAATCGCGATTCAACAATCGCGGAAAAATCGCAAGTGTGCGATAAGCAAACAAAGCTGCAGCGCGAGTGTAACTGCAATGTTACTGGGCTTCACGTGTTCCCCGAGGGTTCTTTTTTATGAAGTCAGTCGATTGCAAGCGTGAATCCCGAGGGCTTTCTATCAGACTCATCGTCACATTTATGCTCACAACTACTTCATCTACGATACGAGGACTTATCGTGATGTGAATGGTGATAAAACGTCTACGTGTCACCTCTCAAGATGTAGCTACCAAATGCCGAGAGCTTACCTGCATAGACTAGATTAAACTGCTCATATGCACCTTCGATGTGGAAACTGAATAAGAAAAACCATCGTCTCTGTCCTCCTGCTTTCGTGGAGGCAAGGGGATGGTCTATTATTAGCAAGCTGGATTCAACCGGACAAGTTCCAGCCAAGTTACTGTAGCCCATAGCCAAGTTTCATTCATACCCACACCGTTGCCTACTCAGATAACTGCGCTGCCAGAACCAGCGGTATTTCAAGTTTTAAGGCGCTAGACGGTGACGTCCGCGCTCCAATTCTCAAGATGGCGGCTTCCCTAAAAAAAAGGTCTATATAATTAAAAAAACGATAGTGCATCTTTAATAACCCAATGCGTTCCGGCTGAGGTCTGGGAAAGAGCGCAAATCAGGCGATGCACGTGAGAGGCTGCAAATGACCAAAAGATTTTAACAATCTAGTGATAAGCCTCTGTCGAGCTCCTGTGTGGCTGCGATAAAAAGCACCCGCTCACTTCTTAACTGTACAGTGGAGAGGCCTTATCGGATTTAAGAACTTCACTCAAGATGAATCAGTTCTCTGAAAATGGAACGCACGAATGCACATTTTGCAGAAATCCCAAAACGGAGCGCGTAGGGAACTACAGGGACGCTAATTAGGGAGTTTTCGTTGACCATTTTCCCACGCTCGCTACACCCTCCGGAAGGAAGACGCCACTGCTGCGCATGCGCGGCGCTAGCCTTGCCTGCAGAGTCCCGGATCTCGTAGCGGGTTGCGGAGAGCGTTGCGTAACAGTGGAAACGGCCTACGAAAACTCCCTAGTCTGTGTGCTTCAATACGCTCCCGCAGCATCCACCGAGTGACACTCAAGAGAGCGACAGACGAAAACAGAGGGTAGCGCAGTTTCTTGTCTGCCCTCGCCTGATCGCCCGCGGTTTTACTGTTTCCTCGATGGTCTCCTCCGTCGTCTACTACAGCCGGCTCTGTATACAGCCAGTCTCCGGCAACCGTTTTGGTGCCACCTAGGGCGCTGACCATCTTGCATAAGGTCTCCTCCGAAACAGTTATGCCAGCGAGTGTTTTTGATTATTATTGATGAGATACTGGGTGCCAAACAACTTTCGTATGCGCTTACTGAGCGGAGCGATTCAAAGCAATTTTCACGTTAAGACGGAACGAAACAGCCCGTACGTCGACGATAGTCTTGAGTGCGAAGTCGTCCCGAATGCGTCCCTCCTTGCGTGCCCTGGACGCCACGCTGGAGGCCCACACCAGGGGCATCCAGTACGTCGAGTGGTTCGTCTTGAGCTGCTCGAACACATCGCGTTCGCTGCCCAACAGAAGACCTGCGTGCCAGATTCCCCGAGAGGAAAAGGGAAAACTGCCTGTCCATTGGTATAACATCACATAGGCACTCTAAATGTACAGTATTTAGTAATGCTACTCTGTGAATTCATGATGTCATCGTGGTTACGTGCCCTTGCGTCACATGACAACATGGCGTGTCGTCAGGCTGCGCGACGTCAGCGTGACGTCAAGTCGTGGTGTCACCTGACGTCTTGTGTCGTGAACACGCGGCATGACGTCGATCACGTCACGTGTCACCATGACGCCACAATTTTACGTGACGTCAGGGTGAGATGCGAAATCACAGTAGAGAATCCATTTGCATTTACGATACCGCACAATGTGTGTCACAGCAACAGCAGTGCGGTGCCTGCGGAATTCCCTATACTTTTGCTGCCGTTGTCGTTTCTGCGCAGAGTCCAGCGATTCGGAGGATGTTTGCGCCATTTTCGCTTTCGATTTCGCCCCCATGCCTCATCCGTACTTCATCCAGGGCAAGCCTTGTCAACGCGCCGTAACTGAAATTCGTGTTTTCCAGTCCAATGTGTCGGTGCACGTTCGAGGCTCACAAAACGAGGGTTAGCGAAGGTAGAATGAAATGAATGTATACCACCTTTAAAGGGGCCATGAAACGATTTTTCAGCTTCCTCCTCATCAACTTTATTCCTCAACTCAAAAGCTAATTCACAAATTTAGTGGTCGTGACATGCTTGGGCACCGCTGTGATAACTCCAAGTTTCCACCTTGCTTTACAAGCAGACCATAAAACTTGACTTTCGCAAGTGATGATAAGTTCTGTCAGGGCACTCGTTGGCCTCGAACGCGAATGCAAATATTCGTCGACGGGTTGATTGTTGACGAGCGCATACGTCCGAGTAACGCAGCTCTCGTGCCCAATGAGTGAGGTGGGGACGGCTGACGTCCTTCGGGTACCGCTGATATACTTTGGGTACCGCGGATGTATCATAGTGAAAAGGCGGATAGCATTTCAAAGAAAAGGAGGTACGAAATAGTCCGATATATCTTCAAAAGTCTGTACCGTAAAGCTGGTCTTTTACTTTCTACCAATCTTCTTTTGGCCCACTAAACGATATGGGATTAATAAAGTTCCAATCCAGAATTATTTATTGCAGCCTAAAATTCATTTCATGGACCATTTATTCACTGAAGTTTCTCCGGTCGGTGGCTCAGCAGGTAGAGTGCTAGCACTCATAGGTCACTGGTTCGCATCCGGATCAACGGTCGGATCTTTCTGTTACTCAGCGGTGGCGGCAGTGGCTGAGAGCGGTCGCGTGATTGATGACGCCACTGGGAGTTTTCACGAAGGACGACCATGCAATTTTTCCTGCGCTGTTCCCATTAACAGCTGCCGCTGTAAAATGGTGACCCCAGAGATGTCGCTCTTAGGACTCGTCACCATTCTAGCACCACGGTGAGAAGCAACCACTGCTACCACCGCCACGTCATCAGCGTGTCGTCACCATCGAGGCAAGACCCTGCAGGCAGAAACACGAAAGTGCTAACACATCCGATTAGCCCATCTCCGCCGCACGGACAGAACGTTTTCAAATTGGGAATTCTAGAGTCTACTGGGCGGGTCGACGAGGGTTTTGAGTGCAGTGTTTTCTCGCAGCAGGGATGAAGGTAGAATCGTAGACATGTTTAGAAAAAAGCAGCCATCTTGACCAGCTGCGCGATCACTCTAAATATGCAAATGACAGTTTCCTCTGCGACCGGCGAAGCGGCAGAGAAAATGCTCCTTTAGGTAACTACGCTCATGCTCAGAATGGGCCGCGTATGCGCAGTGGAGATTGCGCTCTTTGCAAAACAGAACGGCTGCACAAAAACGGTCTATTCAAACTCTTTACTAGCGCGACTGTCCGCAAGATGTTGATCGAACATGTCTCCCCAGAGCAGACAACAGTGACGATGTCAAGAGATTGATCCGTCTCTTTCTCGCCGAACCCAACTACAACGCTGTGCTTCTAACGCATTAATTTTATTATCGAGTTAAATAGGAAATATCGCAATCCATCTCGATGAATGCTATGTGAACTGAATGCCTTTTTGACGCGTATTATGGCATTAATTTTTCTCTGACAGCGTCGCGTTTCCCAAGACCTCGGCGGGGACCTGTAGAGCTTGACACCTGCCAGGAGGTTCGGGGTTGCTACAGTCCGGTACTCAGCAATGTATACAGGTTTGGCAACTCTTGAATCAACACCTTAACGAAATGACGCACGAGCAGCCCCACGAGCAGGCAGGACCGGCGAAAGGGCCTTTCCGGTGTTGCAAATATTTTGAGCTAGGTGGCGCGACGTGTCTCACTAAACTCGGTATCCCTCAAGCTATCGTGCCCAAACGTTTTTTTATGTACGTGGGTTCTCAGAAGTAATTATGTAAATCTACGTTGGATGTGGCAGCTAGGATGCCATTCGTCTCCATCTGAATCGCAGAAGATGCGCACTCATGATCTCTGAATCTGAAGATCGAACTTTTCATTCGAGTGCTGCCAATAAACAAAGATTTGTTTAACTGCCCTTCACCCCTTTTCCTTCCCCTTAATCTTTAGCATCTTAGCTTCAGTGGCTATGTTTACGAGGATGCGAGCGCAACCCATCGAATTAAGGTTCGGCAATAATGCTTGGGTGGAATATGAAGAGAGAGTAAATTTGAATACGCCTGATTGGTCTAGTTCGATGCGCTTCTGTCGCATCCATGTCAGCTATAAAGCCATAAAATAAGCTACGGTAAAAAAAAAAAAGACACGTCGGCCATGTTGTTGCTTAAAATCACATTTTCCAGTTATTTGAACCAGTATCTGAAATCACAAGAAACTGTTTTCTGTAGTACAGAAATGTCAGAGCACCTTTCGACAACGTACAACGACATTGCCCCGTGTTTCCTGAGAGCGTATCTGAAGCTCATAAAGTCGCATTTTGCGATTGTAATGATCGCTAATGGTGCTGCCCGCTTTGCACTAAGCATCAAAATGCCGCGCGAGAACCGAGGAATAGAGTGCCAATACTCTAAGTGTTTTGTTGACTGGATCTAACCTAAATGCAGGCAGCGTCTAGGCGGCTGACGTACCAGCGTCCACCAGGTGGTCGAGCGTCGGGAAGCGTTTCTTGACCGGAGGACTGATGCAACGCAGCGTGATGACCGACGACAGGTTGGCGTACCGCATGATGGTGCGACGCATGAGACGGCCGCGGTCGTCCTGCCGGTGGGATGGGAGACCGTCAGGCAGAAGCGTCGATATAGGTGTCTGAAAAGGCGCCTCCGACGGATGTCTTTAGCGTCCCGTACCGGACCCGTGCATCGTAAGTGGTACCGAAGAGGCGACAGGTCGCGTCACAGAAACTGACGCGTCATGCTCTCGGAAGGCTGCTATCCTTGCGGTTGGTCGTACAAGTTCCGGCAAAAAGTACGTCCAACTTCCGGCTGCCAAAGCTTGCGTGGACTGGCAAGCTAGGGAGAGACTAACGGCAGAACAGGCGTTTTCCGCACCCATCTTCGCTCTTGAGGAGCACGACAGGCAACAAAGTGACACTTCTGTAACTTCATTAGGCGATAATTGAGGGACGACATTTGAGGACGTCTTCCAGACATCGTAAGATGATTTCACAATTCAACGCGAACGTTTAACGGCATGCTCAACTCGCGGTGATACGTAAAAAACAGAAAATATATATATAATCGGCCGAACAATGCTCCACGTTGACGCGCGAGTTCTCTCTGACTTTGCGCAGGTTGCAAGTCAGCCCTGGGACCGTGCTGCGAGTACGGCAGCGCGAGTGTTCGCTCGACTCGAGTCTATTTTCTTTGGGGAGTACAAATATCTCCGGTCAAATGTTCAACCCTTCCTCCTGAAAGCGAGGAAGAATGCTGCGTTTCTTGACAAGCGTCGGGAGACAACCTTCACCCGAAAAGTCCGTGGCCCCACTCCTTTGTACGAAGTTTTCCAAGTGCTGCGCGAAGTCCCATCCTGGACTCCATGCCTCGTCTTGTAGTTCCTGTCACATTGCTCATAAATCATGCAAAAGACACCGTGTTCGCTCCAGACATGTATGACAGAAATATCCGCAGACATGTTTCTTATATGTCTCCAGAGGGTATGACCAATGTCGTGTGAGCGGGTTAAAAGATTGGGAGTACTCAAGTGCGTGCTATGGAATGCTTATGTCGATAAGAAGCTTTTTAGTAATGCATAGCTTGCGTTTATCCGCCGGCTCTTGTCCCCATCCATAAAGAGGAAAGGAGGTGTAAGATATTTGCTTCTCCATTACAGGGCCTCTGCGCGCTGGCGTATTTGTCTAGCAGGACGTATACAATGCCTTTTGGGCGTGCGCTGAAGGTCAAATGTACAAAATATCACGAGACGCGCGTGCATCGACAGCCCAGTGAGTCGTCATTTTTCGCCTGGGTGAGAAGCGCTGGAAAGGCTTAGCATATAAAAAAAAATTTAAGAACTTTTCATCTCTCGTTAGACTCAAAATAATTAGAATAGTCGCATTATCAGTTAGAAAACACCGGGTGAGAGAGACTGGGCCAAGATTTGGCATAAAAATTAATTAAAATGCGCATTTAGAAAATAAAAAACGGTAGCGCGTTGTGAAAGAGACATTGAAGAACACATCTAAGGAAGACGGAAGAAAAAAAATAGCAACAAGTTCTTTTGTTTACTGCTTTCGTAATGGCTACTAATTAGTGTTTATGAGCGGTTTTTTCTTAGCTGTTCATTGGCTCGGGCCCAGGGGCCTGATTAGTAAGAGAAATGTGACGTCACGGACGGAGCGTACATCCCAGGCCTTTTACTTTTGACCTTTGACGACGTGACGTCGTGGTTTTACGTCACACAATAACGTCACGTGTCCTGATAGCGCGTGACCATGTGACTTCTGTGAACTGATTGTCTGTTCACAGGAGCTCTATGAGAACATCTGGGCGCGTGTCTTTTCAAAGCTATCACTGCTATCACTTTGCCAACAAACCTTCTTTCGCGAGCTGTGCAGCGTTATCAATATGCACAAGCACGAGTGCTACGCTCTGCTAAATATTTTTGTTCGCAAGTGCCGTGACCGCTGCTTCCTGGAACTTGGATCTGGCGGCCGTGCTCAAGCTCTCGCGCAGTCACAGTGCTTTCTACAATCACGCGCATGTAACCGTGCTTCCCACCGCACAAATACAGTGATCTAGCGATGGAGTCTAGACGCGGTGAGAAGCTCACTAGGGGCGCTTCTGTTTGCCTCACTACAGAGCCGTTTATTGAGACGGTTTGTCCATACATTGGTTTGAATAGGCGAGCATCTCGGGGCCCACCACAGGCCGCGAAACAGCCCATGGCGGTGGTCGTGTGCTCTATACTCTGTTTCACACTTAGCGTACAACGCTGTCAAAGCTACTGGCGCAAATGATCTCGTTGATCATTTGCACGAGTGCTCGCGCGAACGACACCATAAACAAAGCCACGTGCTCGCGCCAATAGCTTTGGCAGCGTTGCATACTAAGTATGAAACGAAGTATAAATATGTGACACGACTAATTTAAGCCGCTTTAGCGTCGCTAGAGTGAAAAGGTTTAGCTCTCGGTGACTGAAAACTTTGCGCTTTTGAGGTTGTCGTCACGCCAATATTCCAGTGTAGAATAAACGAACGTGAGCTCCAAACCAGGGACGACTTGCTATAAACAGCGTCTCAGCTGAGACGGGGAAAGAAAGCACTGCCAAATCCAGCGCACGAGTCGAGCAGGACTCCGCGTCTCAAGACGCTCGCGCGCCCCACCCTTTGCACTGTAGGGACCCATTTGCACGGTACGCATAGAAGACAAGAAGGACAAGCGCGTGCCGCGGGATAAGAACGAGCTCGAGAGACGGAACGACCGGCGTGACATAATAAGCTCCCTGTGATCGCAGCTACCGTTCATGGACTCCGCACATTTAATGTGAATATTGTAAAATATTGTAGATAAAGTATTAAAGAGTCAAGTACCGCGTACCTACAATTGGTGACCCGGACGTGATTGCCCAAGGTGGCCTTCCAATCGACATCTTCAGTTGCGCCGCCAGTCACAACGTCTCCGCCAACCGTCACCACTACGGTTATCTCTGCTGCCGTCCCAATTACAAGTTGCCATCCTATCTCTGGGTACCCTAATCTACCAGAAATCGCGGCAGCAACACTGAAGCTTCCTGATTTCTGGATGACGGACAGTGAGCTCTGGTTCCTGCACATCGAAGCTACCTTTCGGCGGAAGAGAGTAACATCCCAGAGTACCATGTTTGACTATGTAGTCGCTGCACTCCCACAAGCGGCAACAGCACTAGTACGTGACATCCTGCGTACACCCCCCGCCGACCTTCCCTATGACCGACTGAAAACGGAGCTCATCCGGCGAACGACCGCATCAGAGCAGCAGAGACTGCAGCAGCTGCTAACATCAGAAGAGCTTGGGGACAGAAAGCCATCTGAACTCCTTCTACGAATGCACCAACTACTAGGAGACAAGGCACAAAACCTAGATCGTTCCATCTTCCGAGAGCTATTCCTACAACGACTTCCACAAGATGTCCGAATGGTCCTGACTACTGCAGACTCCTGCTCACTTGAATCTCTAGCTCGCATGGCTGACAAGATGATGGAAGTTCGATCCCCTGGCATTTCTGCCGTATATCCCAACTCTTCCCAGACTCTCGGCCACAACCCAGACCGCAAAGTGAAGACGACCGTATTTCTCAACTTTGCTTAAAAGTTGGTCAACTCGCCGACGAGCTAGCAAGCTTGCGTTCAGCACAGCAGCAAACTCTTCGAGGACGAAGCCCGCAACGCGGTTTCACACGATTCAGTCGCCCACGCTCCTCCTCAACACCGAGGACACGCTGGTACCACACCAAGTTCGGCATGCAAGCACAAAAGTGTCACCCTTCATGCTCATTCGCGGAAAACGAGTCAGTCACCCGCCCGCGGCGGCAAGCGTGGTAGACTCGGAAACAAGCCGCCTCTTCTTCGTTACGGATCGCACCACAAAAGTCCGGTTCCTCGTCGATACAGGCGCAGAAGTTTGCTAGGTCCCACCAACACCAGAAGATCGCCGACGACGTGGTGATTTTCCCTCACTCCAAGCAGTAAACGGATCAGCGATAAAGACATACGGGGAAAGATCTCTGACACTTGACTTCGGCTTGCGTAGGCTGTTTCGTTGGGTTTTTCTTGTGGCCGATGTCCACCATTCTATTATCGGAGCTGACTTTCTACGTCGTTTTGTGATTGTCGTCGACTTAAGTCACAATCGACTCCTGGACTCTGAAACTCACATCAGTGTACAAGGCATCTCATCTAACGTCGACTCACTTAGCCCCGTGTTACTACGACCTAATCCAACAACGACGTGGTTTAAGATACTGCACGAGTTTCCATCTCTCACAAGCACTTGCAGTGCACACAACCCAGTCAAACACACCATAACACACTGCATAAAGACTACTCGTCCTCCTGTTTTCGCCCGTCCTCGACGTCTCGCACCGGAACGCTTGAAAATAGCAAAACAGGAATTTGACCACATGCTCGAGCTTGGATTTATCCAGCCGTCTTCAAGCACGTGGTCGTCAGCTCTACACATGGTTCCAAAAAAATCTGGTGATTGGAGACCCTGTGGGGATTACCGTGCTTTAAACAACGTCACAGTACCCGATAGATACCCTATCCCACACATACAAGACTTCACCTCCGCTCTTCATGGAGCTACAGTGTTTTCAAAGATTGATTTGGTTAGGGCCTATCATCAGATCCCAATAGAACCAGCAGACATTCCCAAGACGGCCATCGTCACGCCTTTCGGGATGTTCGAATACCTCCGCATGCCGTTTGGTCTCCGGAATGTGGCACAAACTTTCCAACGCTTCATGGATCAAGTTCTACACAGATTGACATTTTGTTTTGCATATCTCAATGATATACTTGTCTTTAGTGCCACTCATCAAGAACATGAACAGCACCTCAAACAGCTGTTCACCCGTCTCGACCAGTTCGGCATCATCCTCAACTTACAAAAGTGCGAGTTGGGCGTCACCGAGTTTGACTTCTTAGGACACCGTGTCTCCCCTCAAGGTATTCGTCCGCTACCTAATCGGGTGCAGGCTATCTTGAATTTCCCCACACCTACAGCACTGAAGTAGTTGCGGGAATTTCTCGGATTTGTTAATTTCTACCGACGCTTTCTCCC